TGGTTTCTTAGTTGTTTGCTTTCCTTAAACTACATGAAAAGCTCTTTTATTTCTTTTAAATGTATGATGGTACTCTTTAGATAGAGAAGGAACTATAGCCATCAGCCTTAAATAAATATTTGTCCTGTGGAATTTGTCTGTGACCTTCACTTTGCCAGTGAATAGGCGTGAGTTAAAGTGCAAATTGACATTATCACAGACTAAAGCTGGGAACTAAAACTGGTGATACAGATCAGGGAGCTCGTGTTAGAAAATGTAGGTATGAGGGCTTCTTTTCTCAAGTATTCTGAAGTTTTAAAGGCACATTAGGTGTTATAAAGGACATGCTAGCCTTTCTGATATGCTGTGCTCCAGTGTTGGGTTACTCTTGTTACCCCAAAGGCTTAAAATAGAAATTTGTGGTGTCTGATTAACTTAGCTCATGACTGTTCATTTCAGGAGGAATGTAGGAAATAATTATGCAGCTTTGTTCTGGTTTATGATTTGGTTGAATAACCTATATTCATGCAAGACATAGTGTGCCTTTAGTTTTAGTGATCACTTTTTGTAATTGGTGTGTGTATGTGCATGTGTGTCTGTGTGTCTATGCTCATTCACCCGAGCTTCTATTTATTGTTGGTATTTTTATTTTTTGGTTATGGGATAGGGAGGGAGTGATCTGCTAGTCTATTCAAGCCTTTAGTGCTTTTAGAAGAATGTTACCGGGTAGTTGGGAGGGGTTGGATAGTATAGGAACATGAAACGTTTGAGCTGGAAGAAAAGCCCCTTTTAGAGATGGTCAGGTTCAAACTCTTTGATCCCAGTTGGTGGGAGAGCAAGGTCTAGGGTCTTCTAACTGCCGGAGTGCAGTGCTCTCGGAATTTTAGATTTAGAACTGGAAGAAACCTTAGAAGCAATCAAGTACAAAGGCCTCATTTTACAATTAAAGAAACAGACAATCCAGGGTCACCTGGGTCATAAGCATCATTTGTAAGATTTGTAACCAGGTCCTCTGATGCCAGATATTGAATTTGGATTTCTTGCTCCTTATATGGTAAAGGTAATAAATGAGGATGAAGTGAATGGGGAATAGATGTTGATTCTTTAGAAGTAATTCAAAAATTCCTTCTCCTTGGTATTAAAAAAAAAAACCAAACCAGCTGAGTTGGCAGAGTTTGGCAGCTTGTTTATCATGGTTAAGTACAATACATGGCTTCTAAGAAAGGCGGCTTACTGTCATCTTTTTTTTTCTTTTTAAATGCCCTACCATCATCATTGTTTTTCTTTTTAAATGCCCATTGTCATTTTTTTTAAAAGGAGGCTGAGCAAAAGGAAAACTCTGTTACCAGTATCTCCCACTCTTTGTGGGTGGGGCAGTGGGGTGATTTCTGCTTACTGCTGTTGGCTGATTCTCCCCTCCCCCTGAGAAGTCTAGTATGGATTTTGCCTGCTAGTTACCTTTAGCCTACTGGGCAGTTGCTGGAGGTTCTGCATGTGACTAATGCCCTGAGAGACTTTGGAGATTCAGGAAAGTGCCAGCCAAGCTGACATCAGTACTCTTAACCTCCATCCATCCTTCTGTTCTTACATGCCCTGGGTTCTCTCCCTGGCCATCAGCTGCTGGGGGCTGTTCAAGTAGGGTGGTCTCTTAAGAGACTTAATGAAGAGACTTATTTGCTTACCTGTGCCTTGTCATGGAAAGCTTACTTATTTACCTTTTACAGTGTTTATTGTAACAAAAAAGGGGTTAAAAGATACAGGGCCTGTTTGATGATATGAGCTTTCTATCAACCAGGAGTGAATGAGCCTAATAAACACTGTAATTTGATATCAGTAGGTTTTAGATTTACTTCCAGCAACCAAATACCATTTGAGGGGAAAATAACTTTGGAAATTTAGGTTTAAACAGGATCAAGCCAATAACTTTCTTTCCAAGTTTAGAAAGTTATCTTGTGACTTCACTGTTAAAGAAAACTACCTACTGCTAAAACATCTGAACTCTAAAGTGTTCTGTTTTCCATCAGTCAAAGAAAACGCAGCCAGACTTGGGGAGAGAGGTGTCAGGAGCTGGGAAAGAACTTTTGAGTTGCAAGTTATTTGCTTATTTTTATTTTTGTTGATAGCTTTTAATATACTCTTCATTTCCAAATATATCCCTTTCCCATCACAAATGGGGTAGGAGGGGAAGCAGTTCAGCAAAACTAACAAACATGAGTTGCGTGCTAACTAATTTTGCCTACAGTAGACTGAAACTTTGAGACATAGTCCCATCAGGAATTCTCTAAATTACAAACGTTCTGATTGTGAGCCCTATGCAATTAGCACCTTGTTATATACTCTGGTGTTTTCTAATTGTTTATATTTTACAGCTTAGTACTTTATTGTAAATTGGCTTGTTTGCTGATCTGCTACCTGTGTGGATCTTGACGTCTCAATCAGATTAGCATAACATTTCCAACCCTTTTGTACTCAGCAGGGGCATAATAAATGCTTAACTTGTTGAAGAGAAGTAGTAGGCCCCAGCAGTTCCCTGGGCACTTGATAGATGTCAGATCAGGCAAAACAAAAAAAAGAAGGCAAGTGTTGACAATTTATCTGACTTATTTTCTAGTCTCTTTATTCATTTCAACTCCATCTAACCATTTGTGAAGAACTTATTTTCTCCCCTTACTAGGCCCCAGTGCTAGGTAATAGAGATATAGAAATGAAATAATTAATCAACAGGTATTTATTCCGTGCTTATTGTGTGCCAGGTACTAAGTGCTAAGGCTACAAAAACCAACATGAAACAGTAAATGCTCTCAGGTAGCTCGTAACCTAATCATGCACACATATAAATATGTACAGCCAGGGTATGAGGAAAAGCTTCCTGTAGAAAGAAGGCAGTGATAGAACTAAGTCTTGAAGGTAACCAGAGAGTTCTAGAGGTGACAGACATTCCAAGCATGGAAGACAGCCCGTGCAAAGGCATAGGGAGGTGAGGAATAGAGTGTGTATGGAACAGTAAGTAGGCTAGTGTGGATGAATTCCTGAGTTGGAGAAGGGGAGTAGTGTGCCAGAAGGCTGGAAGAGTAGGAAGGGGCCAGGCTGTGAAGACATTGAGATGTCACACAGAGCACTTTTTTTTTTTCTTTTTGAGAATCAGTTGGGAGTCTTTGAATTTGGGGTGGGAGGGAGGTGATAAGTTGGGAGCCAGACCCCAAAAAGGAAAAACCCTGGACTTTCCCACATGGCCTGATCTCTGGTGTTCCCCTGAGGCTATAATCCCATCAACTGGCCTTTCTTTATGGCTGTGCCCAATCTCTGTTACCCTTAACCTAGCCTGACCCTCCATTGTCTTACCTCCCTGTGCACCCCCCACCAGCCATTTCCCACCCTTAATCCTATCTTGGCCACCCCTGGAGTTGTTCTCTTACCACTTGGCCACTCCTAGATCCCTCTTATAGTCTTTCTGTATATAAGATCCATCTTGTCTCCATTAAGAGGCTGGGATTTCTAAAATCTAGGCACTGCTCTGATTCTTATAATCTAGCCACTGCTCTGATTTTCACAATCTAGCCAGTAGCCCACAGATGCTCAGATTCCTTAAGAGTCTGGCTAATATGGCAAATCTTCAATAAACCTTGGGTCGAATTCTTGCAGGCAGGACCCAGGTGTCATGATTTTGGGATTCCAGGACCCCTAACCTCTAGACCTCATCAGAGGGGTGATATGATCAGACCTTCAGGAAAAGAAGACGTGGACACAAACATCATATCCTGCCTCATAATTAAGAGCCAAGAAAGGTGCAGATGAAGTGCTGTGAGGAAATTTTGAAAGCTTTCCAGTTGGTAGAACCAAAGCAGAGCTTGGTGGGAGGAGCAGAGTTTCAGATTAAGCATAGAAATAGTTAAGACAGGAATGAGAACAGGGGATGCTGTCTGGTTGAACTGTTGTGTTTTTTAAATTTCATTGTTATTTGCCCATCCACTGAAGGGACTCCTGCCTAAACATCTTGAATACAAAGGAAATAGAAGGGGCAGCTAGGTGGAGCAGGAGAGAGAGCACTGGCCTTGGAGTTAGGAGGAGCTGAGTTCAAATGTGGCCTCAGACACTTGACACTTATGTGACCCTGGGCAAGTCACTTAACCCCATTGCCTAGCAGAAAGAAAGAAAGAAAGAAAGAAAGAAAGAAAGAAAGAAAGAAAGAAAGAAAGAAAGAAAGAAAGAAAGAAAGAAAGAAGGAAAGAAAGGAAATCGAAGATAGGCTTATTTAAGCTCACATGAGAGTGTGTGAAATTCAGATCCCTTTATTTTGCCATTTGGGCAGCTTTATAAGGCTGTGATGAAGATTAGAGGCAAACTGGTGACTTGAAATTTCTCTGTGGCTGTTATTTGGCTATACTGATATCAGTATTGACCATTGAGTCTGGTTATCTCATGTTGCATGAACAGAGACTAGTGAGGTAATAGCAGCTAACATAGTGCTTTAAGGTTTGCAAAGTATTTAACATACTTATCTCACTTTTCCTCACCATATCCCAGTGAAGTAGGAAATGGTATTATCATCCACCTTTTGCAGATGAGGAAACAGGCTGAGGGAATCAAGTGACTTATCTAAGGTCACGCAGCTAATAGTTATGGGTATCTAAGTCAGGATTCAGAGACAGACTGCTTGTTTGAACATGGAGTAAGAACTGTTCACTAGTAAGTACAAGATCTCCTTAATGCTCTTAAAAGGAGTTTTTCAAGAGGAAAGAAAATGATAAGGTTATTTCTCAGTCTGTCTTAAGACTTAAGAAAGCACTTCTTTTAACTTCTGGCAGGAAAATTATAGTCTATTTAGAAGATATTTGAATGATAGGATTTGAAGCAATCACAATGACGGGTGGACCTGTCATTAATTAGACTTTGGTCTGCAACTTTATAGCTGGAAGAGGCCTAAAGGCCCCTTGGTCCCGTCCAACCTTATAAGTGGAAACTGGGGCTCACGGATGGCGTCGCCTTGTGAAATACTGAATTTGCTCCTGCTTTCCCCGCAGAATCTGGCCTAAGGGACGACCACAGCGGGACGATGCAGGCACACGAGTTATTTCGATACTTTCGAATGCCAGAGCTCGGGGACTTCCGACAGTATATGCGCACTCTGCCAACAAACACGTTAATGGGCTTTGGAGCGTTTGCCGCACTCACGACTTTCTGGTATGCTACGAGACCCAAGGCTCTGAAACCACCGTGTGACCTCTCCATGCAGTCGGTGGAAGTGGAGGTGAGTTCTGGGTCAGGCTTGACTGCCGTCATCTATCACGTAGGGCGTGTACATGTCCATCTCAGGTTCCTCATCCAGTGAAGGTTGAGGCATAAGCCGTCATCCCCTGGTAGCGAGGGCCAAAACAGAGGCAAATATCTATCTGTTTATCTCTATCACTATCTATACATCTCTATTTCTACCTATCTATATCCCTATATCTCTATATCTCTATTTATCTCTATCTATGAATACATTTCTTTATGTGTCTCTAGCTTTATAGCTCTATATCTATGTGCCTCTACGTCTATCTCTAGATCTCTATATATCTATTCATCTCACTATTTTTATATGTCTATATCTCTATTCTATCTGTCTCTATTTCTGCCTCTTTATATCTATCTCCATTTCTGTATATGTCTGTATATCTATTCCTATCTATCTCTATCTCCATGTTTCTATATCTCTGTCTCTTGAAGGCTGTGGCTGCCCTGGGACAGGTCCAGTCTGCAGGACTTGGGAAGCCTTCCTAGGGTCAGAGATTCTGAGGTGGTAGGGACCTCCATCTTCTGTCTGGTCATCACTTACAGATAATAGAAGGGACCACAAAGAGAAGAAGCATCTCTAAGGAAAGGGGAAGGGGATAAGCATTTGTACAGTCCCTATTATGTGATGGGCACTTTGGAAAGATGTTCTCGTTTGATCCTCACAATAACCCTGGTAGGTAGGTGCTGCTGTAATCCCCATTTTACAGTCCAGGAAACTGAGCCTAAGGGAAGTTAAGTGACTTGCCCAGGGTCACACACCTAGTAAGTGTCTGAGGCTATATTTGAACTCAGCTCTTCTTGACTTCAGACTCCATGTTTTATCTACTGCACCACCTAGCTGTCTAATAAAGGTACGAAGGATACCAGTACTTGAACCCAAGCCCTTTTACTCCAAAACCCACTCTCTTTCTGCTGTATGACATGCTTCTCTTGGCCTTCTCTGTCACCTAGGAGCCCTTTGCTCCCTTCAGTGGGATTCTGGGATAAAACAGCCTGCTGGGGGAGCTTTCTATCTGGGTTCTCACTACAACAGAAATAGATACTGTATGTTGTAGGCATGTCTGACTTAAGCAGGATTTTTATCATGTTTCGGATGCTCAGAAATACTGATCCTCTTTCCTTGCCATGGAAACTACCCTTTCATCAAACTGGGGGCCTTGGTTCTGTCCTTTTCTGGCTCCCGTCTGCAGAGTCCCTTTTCCAGGGTCCCACAGTAATGATAAGCTTTAAGGTGTTTCTGAATCTGCAGCCGGATCTCTGTCTATTATACATATTGGCTTCCTGCTTTCCAGACTGCCCAAACATTGGGAGGAAAGAAGGGAGGAAATCAGCTCTGATTTTTGTGTTAAGTATAGATTGTATTTGGGCTTTAGCTCTGTATTCTGCATCCCTCTTGTCTTCACTTCCACCTCCACATTAAGATTTAACAATACTGATAACTTGGATAGTTGTATTGAGATTGAATTCAAACACAAGGGTCAAGATCAGACAACAATTGCTAGGATTGTAAAACCCCTTGTACAAATGATAGAAGGACAGAGCCACTGTGCAGGAGAAAAGCTGTTAATTTTTGACATCGGTGTCCCTCAAGCTAAGCAGAAGACCAGTGTGGGAACTAATAAAATCCTGGTCTGAGTAGGATAGCCTAATAGAACTCAACTCTTCTTTAAAAATTTACTTTATTCTGAACTTAATAAATAAAACAAGCATTCCCATAACAGAGTAGAATAGAAAAAAACTCTTGATTGTTAAAGTGAAACTTTAACAGTCTATTAAGAGCAACTTATCCTGACCCATACAAAGAAGGGAAAGGATAGTAACTCCAGTCTTGGGGAGGAAGGGAATACAGAATAGCTTTAATATCACTAAATCACTTGCAAATGACTACAAACATGGTAGGACTTTTTTGTTGCAGATGTAGTGAATGGTGTGGCTAGCAAATGCCTCCATTAAAAATTGCTGTAATTGCATTCAATTTTAGGACGGTGGCTCTTAACTTGGGGTCTGTGAGTATGTTTAGAAAAATATTTTGATAGCTGTATACCAGTCTAATCAGTGTTCTGATTATATTTTATGCATTTAAAGACATGATTCTGAGAAGTGCAAGGGCTTCCCCATACTACTAAGGTGGCCCATGATGGGGGAAAAAAAGTTTAAAATCTCTGCGCTATCTTATTAACCTGAATCAATCAGGTTCTTTTTTTTTTTTTTTGGCTAGGCAGTTGGGGTTAAGTGACTTGCCCAGGGTCACACAGCTAGTAAGTGTCAAGTGTCTGAGGCCGGATTTGAACTGAGGTCCTCCTGACTCCCAAGATCAGAGCTCTATCCACTACCTGAATCGATCAGGAAGCACTATTAGGCACCGATTAGGTACAGTGCTAGGGATTGGCAATACAAAGGCACCCGCAGATGATGGTAGATTGTGTTTTGGCCTTAGGTGAACATGAAGCTGCTTAAACACTATCAGAGCTCTTCTTCATGTATTTTTGTAAATTTTAGGTGGATATATGAGAAACTGGGGGGGGGAGAAATTAGCAAAAACTTGGAGTAATTCAATGATTTCATCAAGGATTTAATTCAGTGCCTGTGAGGGCCTGCTGTGAGGGAGCCAAGTTCATGACCCAGAATGTTGCTTATTTGTATCTCATTTGCAAACAAATGGATACAAAGTAACAACATTCCTTAACTTTTTTTGTCAGTCTGGTCTGGTAGCAGTCATGTTAACTTTCTCATTTGGCATGGTCATATCATTGCAAGACACTGGGTCTTTGGGTGGGGGGAGTCTGAAGGGAGGAACATTCCCAAAAAGACTTAGGCACTTACACTCAGAGCTTTAGTCTTGCACAGTCCAGAGTCTCATATTCGCCAGGAGGATGAGCCTTGCTTTGCAGTAAAGGTGTTGGGCATATTCAAATTGAGGACTAAAACGTAGACCCCAGCTAGGCAGCAGTTTAATCCTGTCACACTTATTTCCTCATCCTCTCAGTTTTAGTTGAATTAGAATTAATATAATTATCATTATCATTAGAATTGGTTGAATAATGCTTACACCATAAAAGCATATTGGAGCTTTCATATCCGTTCCCTCAGTTTGATGGTATGTTAATGCACAATCATTAGACTACTGCTGTATTAGATGGTTAAGAAAAATACTGAACCCACCCCACTGGTCCAAGGGCCTGGTGTTCAGCACATCAGGATGTCGCAGTTAGGGGAATGGTCAACATGTCAGCATTCATATTCGAAGGCTATGTGGATGAGCACAGACTGAGGAAGCCTGGGGATGGTGGTGGAGGAAGACCTGCAGGGTCAGATGAAGACCAGAAAAAGGAACATGAGGTTAAGGCAAGAGTCAGGTATTCTAGGGATGAAACGGAAAGATTGAGGTCAATCCCTGGTGGGCAGAAAGTTCAGGAAGGTTGCAGGTGCCATTAGCACAGGTGCAGAACAGCCCAGCAATTGGGGCAGCCACCCAAATAGGTGGAGGCATAGACTGCTGATTGGCAGTGAGAAGATGCAACAGCAGCTATGGGTGCTCCTCATAAACAGAGGAATCCTGGTGTTGAATAGGCTCCCTGGTCACTGAGACAGTAAAGGAGTAAGATGGGGGTGGATGCAGTCATCCAGGAAGTCATCTGTGCTATGCTGCCATGTATCCAGACTGAGGCAGATGGAGCTCAAGTGAGAGATGGTTCAAAACGTCAAGCAAGGTGGAACCCACTGTCTTCTGAGGCAGCACATACACTTTCCAGCAGTTTTCATTGTTAAGAGTTAACCAGTAAGCATTTATGAAGCACCTACTACACGCCAGGCTCTATGCTAATAAACACTGGGCAGGCAGGGAGAGGAAGGCAAAAATAATCCCTGGTGCAAGAGGAATATCCGTGTTCTCTTTGGCCCCAGGGGGCAGAACTAGGAGAGTACTGGGTAAGAGAGGCTTAATGTCAAGAAAAACTTCCTTCTCAGGTTCTATCTACGGTGTATGTGCGTGTGTGTGTGTGTGTGTGTGCCCTCTGCCATGTAGGTATGTATAATATGTACATATTTGTACAAATCTATGTGTATATGCATATTGATGGTACTCACACAGAGAGAAGAGGAACAGGAACCTGAGAAGGAAGTTTTTCTTGACATTAAGCCTAAACTTTCCTCTTCGCAGCTTTGAGCCCATTGCACTCCTGCTTTTCTGCCCCCTGGGGCCAAAGAGAACAAGAGTCATTCTTCTTGCATGGGGCAGCCTTTTGCCACTTGAAGACAGTTGTCCCGTTTTCCCTGATTTTCTCTAGTGTCAGGATCACAGACCTTTGAAGTGGCGCTGTCTCTCATGAAGTTAAGGTGCTCCACTTTCCTCGTTGCCCTCCTCTGGATGTTTGGTAGCCTTCTAAAATCTAGGTGTCAAGAACTGACCACAACCTTCTAGGTATAGTCTGACTCACAGAGGTTATTGCAGTATTGTCACCTCTCTGTTAGATTCCTGGCTGTTCTCTCCCACTACTGACTTACATCAAGCTTATATTCCCTAAAATTCCCAGGTCTTTTTCAAACAAACTGCTGTCTAGCCATGCCATCTTGTTGTTCAACCATTTTGGTCATGTCTGGTTCTGCAAGACCCAATTTGGGGTTTTCTTGGCAGATGCTAGAGTAGTTTGCTATTTCCTTCTCCAGCTCATTTTACAGGTGAGGAAACTGAGGTAAACAGGGTTTAGTGACTTGCCTAGATTAACATAGAAAGTATCCGAGGCCAGATTTGAACTCAGGAAGATGAGTCTACTTAATTCCAGACCCAGCGCTCTCTATCTACTGTGCTACCTAGCTGCCCTTTGCCATTTTGTACTTCAAAGTTTATCTTTTGGAATAGAATAAATGGGAGGGCAGGATAGGATTAAGGGAAATAGAGTTAGTTTTTCACAGCATGTCTGCTGTGGAAGTGTTTCGCATAACTGTGCATGTGTAACCTATATTGAGTTGCTTGCC